CAAATGGGTCTTCTTCCAGAATTGCCACCTGGCACCAAGCTGGATGCCAGCCCTGGAACGCCTCATTGAGCACATCAACCCTGACAAGGTATTCCATGCTTCCAGTCACAGACCCACTATGCCCTTTTCTATAAGGGAACTAATTAAGCTATCCAGGACTGATGAGGCTTAAATAAGATAATCCTGTGAAGCACTCAGCTCCAAAGTGAGTGACATATGTATTAATGACTTTACGTATAATGTCAGAAATAGATTAATCCCAACAGTCCTCCCAGTTATTAGGTCTCAAGGGATCTGCCTAGGATTGGTAACCCTGGGATTTGCCAAAGCCTCTGTGTGTGTGTATGAGTGTGTGTGTATGCCAGTCTCACACTCTCACTTGGGCAGTCTATGCTTCTTGATGGCACTCTATTTCTTGAGCCATACATGTATTTCTGACTCTGCTACTTAATTAGAGATGAGTCTCATGGGTTTATCTGCTTAGACTGGCTTTGAACCACAAACCTTAGATCAGCATCCTGAGTAGCTAAGATTATAGGCATGAACCACTGGCACCCAGTCCATATTCTTAACCACTTGTCCATGCAACATTTGCTGACTTAGCCCAAAGAAGTAGGTCACAGGTGATCTCAAGGATGCTGGATAGGAGGGTACCTAAGCTCTGGTCTTTTTCATGAGAAGCCCTGGTCCACCAGGTACACCGGGACTTCCGCCTGTGGCTCACTAGCCTTCCCAGCAACAAGTTCCCAGTGTCCATCTTGCAAAATGGCTCCAAGATGACCATTGAGCCACCACGTGGAGTCAAGGCCAACCTGTTAAAGTCCTATAACAACCTCAGCGATGACTTCCTTCATTCCTGTAATAAGGTGATAAATATTTGATGCACACCAATCTACTTGCTTCCATCCCTGTTTCTTATACCTGCTGTCCCTCTACTTCCTGCAGGTGATGGAGTTCAAGTCCCTGCTGCTGTCTCTGTGTCTATTCCATGGAAATGCACTAGAACGTCGTAAGTTTGGGCCCCTAGGCTTCAACATCCCCTATGAGTTCACAGATGGAGACCTGCGCATCTGCATTAGCCAACTCAAGATGTTCCTAGATGAATATGATGATATCCCTTATAAGGTGGGCCAGGGATAGATGGGAAGGGGGGGTGGTCAGTGGCTTGGGCAATTATGAGAGCCCTCACCATCCACTGTGTAGGTCCTCAAGTACACAGCTGGGGAGATCAACTATGGGGGCCGCGTTACTGATGACTGGGATCGCCGCTGCGTCATGAACATCTTGGAGGACTTCTACAACCCTGACGTGCTCTCCCCTGACCACAGCTACAGTCCCTCTGGTGTTTACCACCAGATCCAACCCACCTATGACCTCAACGTGAGGCCACCCCCATGGGTTGGGCATGATTACTAGGCAGGGTTCTAGAATTCCATGGACACTTTGATGCCAGGGGTCTAGCAGGGAAGGCATGATCCTCCCTCTAGAAGCATCCTTTCCATTAATCCATCCTACAGTGAGAGAAATAAGAATTAATTCTTGCCACTATAAAACAAACTGGAGAGAGAGGTGAATTCAGACTCACCATTTCCTATGTGTAGTTGCTCAGTGTGGTGACCAATCCAGGTTCTTCAGTCAGGGAGGCTCCCAGAGGACATACTTCCAGTGAGGTATGTGAGAAGTCTAAGGCTAGGTTGAGTGGGCCCAGTGCAAAAGCACCTATGCTAGGGGTGGTGGACTACATCAGGTTTGAACAGCTACATGAAGTAGCAGGAAGCTAGAAGGCAGTGAGGGAAGGACGCTGGGAGGGAAGGATGCTGGGAGGGGAGCAAACAGCATACAGCATCAAAGATACCATGCGGTTCTGAGAACAATAAGAGCCCCAAGGATTACTACCAGGGGTGACAAGTAGTGTGCTTAATAGGAAGGTGACTCTGAAGGCTGGGAGGATTAGAGCAAGGCAGGGCCTTCATCTTTGGCCCTCTACCTCCTAGGGCTACCTCTCGTATATAAAGAGCCTCCCACTCAATGATATGCCTGAAATCTTTGGCCTACATGACAATGCCAACATCACCTTTGCCCAGAATGAGACTTTTGCTCTGCTTGGTGCCATCATCCAGCTGCAGCCTAAATCATCCTCTGCAGGTGGCCAAGGCAGGGAAGAGGTGGGTGATAGCAAGGGAAAGGGCCAACGTCTGGGCAAGTCAGGTTCTGCCATCTTGACTGCTCCCCTGTGGGAAGGACTGGTTGTGAAATCTTGAAGGGGTTGAAGGAGGCCAGCCCTATCAGTCAACGTCTCTGCCTCTGCAGATAGTAGAGAATGTAGCTGAGGACATTCTGGTCCAAGTGCCTGAACCTATCAACCTGCAATGGGTGGTCACCAAGTACCCTGTGCTTTATGAGGAATCAATGAACACAGTGCTGGCACAAGAGGTCATTAGGTAAGTCCTCCTACTTCACTCTTAGCCCTGAGTAAGTGGTCACTCAGCTGTAAGGAAATGACCACAGGAGTCAGCTACCACGGGCTAGATGTCATGCTAAGTGCTAAACATCTATCCTCTACCTCAATGACTTATACCATATTTTAAATAATTTGAGCCCATCCCACCCCCCCACTACCCCACCCCCCCCCAAAAAACCCACTAAGTGACTACCTCAGGTTATGTACTTGCTAAGGGCCAAGAGATTTATACCCAGCTCTGCACTCTTAGCCTCTAAGTTTGTCATTACTTTTTTGTCTATGACTTCAAGTTGCAAAGTGTAAGACACTGACACATGACCTCTACTTCCTGGTCACTGGCCCCATAGGTACAACCGGCTGATAAAGGTGATCATACAGACGTTGCGAGACATGCTCAAGGCACTCAAGGGGCTGGTGGTGATGTCCTCACAGCTGGAGCTTATGGCTGGCAGCTTGTACAACAACACTGTGCCTGAGCTCTGGAATGCAAAGGCCTACCCATCGCTCAAGCCACTGGCCTCATGGGTCATGGACCTGATAAAGCGCCTGGACTTCCTAGACACCTGGATCCAAAATGGCATCCCAGCTGTCTTTTGGATCAGTGGCTTCTTCTTCCCTCAGGCTTTCCTGACAGGCACTCTACAGAACTTTGCCCGAAAGTTCGTCATCTCTATTGACACTATCACCTTTGATTTCAAGGTCTGGACAGCCAGGGCAAGGTCAGGTGACAGACTGGGGTGGCTCTAGCAGGAGCACTATAATCATAGCAACTCTGAGCAAGAGGGTGGGAAGCTAAGCCAGAAGAGGCCAAGAACCCTGTAAAAATTCACAGGACAGGGCTGGGAAGGTGGCTCAGTGCCTTGCATGCATGAGGCCCTGGGTTTGATTCCTCAGCACCACATAAGCAAAAAGAAAAAAGCCGGAAGTGGCACTGTGGCTCAAGGGGTAGAGCCCTAGCCTTGAGCTGAAGAGCTGAGGGACAGCGCTCAGGCCCAGAGTTCAGGTCCCACGAATGGACCCCCCCCCAAAAAAAAAAATTCACAGGACAGGGTATAGGCTACTGGCTAAGATAGCAGGTTTCAGATGGCAAAAAACAGCTCTTGGGACAGTCCCTCTAACCAAAATCTGGGTGTTAGTTGTGTCTGTGCCCATCACAGGTGATGGCTGAGTCATCATCAGAGCTCAAAAGCAGGCCCGAAGATGGGTGTTACATCCATGGACTATTCCTGGAAGGTGCCCGCTGGGACCCTGTGAACTTCGAGTTGGATGAGTCTCGGCCCAAGGAGCTGTACACAGAAATGGCTGTCATCTGGCTCTTACCAAAGCCCAACCGCAAGGCCACGTTGCAGAACTACTATTTATGTCCTATCTACAAGACATTGACCCGTGCTGGTATGGGAAGCAGGGCAAGGAGCCTATACTTTAGAGAGAGGTGTGGGTAGTCAGGACTGACCCAACCCAGCCCAAGTCAGCTGTTACTAATCCAAATTAGCTGAACAGAAAAGCTGACAAAAGGAAAAAGCTGTCAGAGGTTTGTCAGTAGAGCCATGCTAGCAGCAGGCATGTTAATACCCAGTAACTAGTTCTAGCCTGCCAGCCTCCCCAGCAGATCCACTTTGAGTCCTGGGAACCTATGAGCCTCACTGGTCACTGGGCGTCCAGAGGAGTAATTGAAGCCCAGAAAGGGGAAAAGCCTAGGCTGCGACTATCCAGGAAAGAGTAGGGCCTCCAACTCTAACCCTTACCTTGAGTCCTCTGGGCAGGATTAAGCTTTGGCCACACCTACTCACCAGGCAGGCTTCCTCTGGTGCCAAAGCCTCCTCCATGCTCCCAATTCAATCTGCCAAATTCCCTGCCCTTGCCCTACCCCTGCTCTAGAGGTGACAGGGCATGACCTGACCTTTTCTTTTTTGCCTCCTCCAGGAACACTATCTACCACAGGCCACTCCACCAACTATGTCATTGCTGTGGAGATCCCTACCCAACAGCCTCAGCGACACTGGATAAAGCGTGGTGTGGCCCTCATCTGTGCCCTGGACTACTAGATTCAGATGGAAGGACCAGAGTCATTAAAGTCAAGTTTTTCAGTCAGTCCAGGTGTGCCATGGCTGCTTGTGTGAGGCCCCCTCTGCAGGACCCATTGCCAGTGTGGGGTTGAGGAACTGCAGCAGGCTCAGCAGAGGCAGCTATGGCCCCACTGTATCTGTATTAGGAATAAAATGTATATCCTCGAATCCCAGTGTACCTTCTGGGACACTCCTAGGCAGTACTACTCCTCAACTCAGAGTCTTACTACCTCTGATGCATAGTCACCAGATGTGGTAAACCAAGCCTTTTCCCCCCACACATCACTTTATCCACAGCCCATTTAAATGCAAATTCCTCCCGTCAGCCACAGCTTAGGTCCTAATTCCCAGGCCTACCATCCCAGAGAAGCCAGACACCCAGGAAGGCATACATACCAATTCTCTGGTCATAAGGCCTTAGGCTAGTAGGTCTCTTACTCCCACAAAAAGCCATACAGACCTCAAGACAGCAATGATGTTTCTTAGTAGTTTTATTCATTCACTGATCCAGTATTTACAGATGCCAGAGGCGGGAATCAAGCTGTGTTCAGCCCAGATAGGTAGCTACCACACTGGCAGCCCCCGCCCTTAAGTCAGTATGTACAGATAAGGGGCCTGCCTGGATCACCTTCAAAGCCATCTGGAAGAGACCACTGGGCTGTATTTGAGGCCTGAGCTTAAGGCAATACAAAACCCATTAAGCCTTGACATCAAGCCTCTGAGAACACAGGGGCCTCCAAATGATGGTTTGATCCTGCTGTTGCACGACCCTGAGTGCCTTGCAGAAGCTGAGGAAGCTGGCACAGCAGAAATTTTTGAGTGGTACCAGGTTCCTGAAAGCAGCCCTCTCTCTGTAATTCTAAGAGGAGAAGATGCAATAATACTGAGGGTCCAGTCAGGCTTTTCTGAGCCCCAGGCTCCAGGGACAGAGACCAGGAGTCCAATGTAGGCCCCTTAGCTAGAGCCACAACACTGAAGGCAAAGAGCCCCAGAGCTTGCTATAGACAGCAGTCTTGACAAGCCTGGCTAGAGTTAGGACACTTTACAGGCCACCAGACAGCTCAAACACTTTTCTCTGCTCAGGCTATGGGAGCCCAGCAGACTGTTCATCCCACTTTTACTTGGATACCTCAATCATTCCAACCCAGCAGCAGGGTCCCTGAGTTTGTCACTCCTCCAAAATAAGAGAGTAGGCCTGACTTCATCCCAACAGACAGGCGGGGGGAAGTGGGAAGACAGACTAGGGCAGCAAAGTCCTGTGCCCACAAGGCCCCCAGCTGGGTCTTTATAGAGTTGTGACCCTGGAATGATGTGGGTAACTGGCCCCAACCAGATGACAGCTGAGAAAGCAGTTGGGAAGCCAGCCATATGAATATGGTGGCAAAATAGGCTGGAGCCCAGAAAAAAATAGACATCTCTGATAGATAAAAAATATATTCTGCTGCCAGAACAGCAGGGCCAAGTCCTGCTGTTCCACTTCTGGCTATAGAGAAAGCCACAGTACCTCTCTGTAGCCCAACTCTTAACTGCTGCTTCCCAAGCACTATCAAGCTGACTTGTCCCCACCAAGCCCCTGGATGTGATGTGGAAACATGGCGGCTGGCTTCCACTACCAGGGTCTGGGCTCTGGATGAAACTATTCAGTAATACTGGGAAAAGGGGAGTAGGGCAGGGAAAGGCCCTGGTGAGGGCCTCACGGCAAGAGCAGGCTGCAGTCAGAGACAGCAGCCCTTATTGGCGCTTGGCCTTGTAGGGGCGAGAACGTTTCCGCCGATCAGGCTTCCGCTGTTTGTGAAGCCGGCCAATGCTGACCCCTTGGCGTCGCCGCACAGAGATGTTCTGCTCCACCAGGTTGGCCAGCATGCCTGTGGAAAGCAGAAACCCTTAAGCTGATAGCTGGTTGCCCAGTAGCCACTCATTCAACCAGCCACACTGTCAGGCCAGGAGCTGGGTGTCTCAAGGCCCTCCCTGCTCAAGCCTCAGAAAAGTTCTGAAGGAGGGAGATCTGAGGTATGACAATCTACAGGGTATACCAGTTAAGATACAATAAGCCCCCTCACCTTCCTGAGCCAGCATGGAGATGAAGGTGCAAATAAACTCATCGTAGTTGTGGGTTCTTCTCTGGTCATCAATCTGTAGGACAAAGGAAGTGTAAAGGCATCATAGCCCATCTCCCAGAGCAGCTGAGAAGGGAAAAGGGACCAGGCAGCAGGAAGATCACCCACCTTGAACTTCTTCCTCTTCTCCACCTCCTCCTTGAGGCAAGCCTCATAGTTTGCAATCTCAGCCTCCACACATTTTAGCAATGCCAGCAGCTCCTGCCGAAACCCAGCATTGCACCTGAAGGGCCTGACTGGCACCAGAGCTTCACTACTCAGAGGCAGCTAGAGGCAAGGGTGAGCAGCCAGAATCCATGAGGCCTACTGATTCCTTGCCATCACCCAACCCAAAAAGGCTTCATGGTACTTGGCTCCAACTAGTAGCCTTCAGAACTAAATTCCAATCAATATCCCAGCACCTGAGCAGCAAGGCCAGGCCTTTCTCTCTGCCAGGAATCAAAGAGAAAGCCACAAAGGAGGCTCACCTTGGGTGAGTACTTTTCCCCACTCAAGGATTCGTTGGGCCTGACCAACCCAGTCTTCTCTCTGCTATCTGTGGCTTCCACGACCTCCTTCTCCTCTGGACTGCTAGACCCCTGGTTGCCTTGGCTCAGTCTGATGGAGGGTGAGGAACCCTTTCCACCCTCTGGAAGAGGACATGAAAACATGTCAGAGCATTGGACACTTGGTTACCTTCCTCCTCCCTCCTGAGTGTACTTCACCCCCCCCTGCACCCCACCCCCACCCCTAGAGCTCACTGTTGCACCTGGCCAGTGAGCCAGTGCAAAGCCCACCTGTCAGTGCCAGGGGACTCAACACACCATCCTCAGCAAGGTGTAGTAGGCCTGTGCTGATGACAGGACCCAGGTCACGGACAGCACGATTGTAGCGTATGCAGTCAACACGCAGCAGACTATCATCCTCTCCAAAAAGCACTTTGGAAATATGAGAAGTGACAGGACTGGAGGGCCGTGTTGGGTTGGCCGAGCGAATAGGTGAGCGCAAGGGGGAATTAAAAGCACTGCCGATCTCAGAGGCAGTGTCTGTGCTCTCGTTACTGGGGGTCGGTGAGGGCTGTGAGTGTGTGGCCATTGCCACTGCTGGACTCCCAGCCCCGCTGCTCGTCTTGACAGACAGAGGAAGTGAGAGGTCTTTCTGGGACTCTTGGAGCTTCTCAGTCAAGACATTGATGGTGTTGGGTTGTAGCACTGACAGTTGCCCATCTGTGGAACTATTCAACGACCCTGGTTTCACTGTCCCCTTTCGCTTGTATCTGTGGGACACAAGAAGTGAACAGAGTGAATGGGCCAGGTAACCACACCCAGCAGTGCCTAGAATTCCTTGCATATATTCTAACTTCCAACAGACCCTGAAGCTCTTTACACCTGGACCAAGCAGCTTAACCCAGATATGTATCATCTGCAGCCTTAAGCTCTGTCACCCGTAGTCAGGTGTTCTCAAAAAAACACCTCCTCTACTCTAAATGCTTCATTTCTGGCCTTCAGCCAATACTATATTGTCTCCACTCTGACATCTCCATCCCTCCAAACTCTTCTCCTGTCTCAACCAATCCTTTGAGGTCCTACTGAAAGGCCAGAACATGTCTTGATACATGCTTGTATGTACATTCTCCCCACAAACCACCAAAAACTTCTTGAGGACCTGGGGTGTCAGTCCCTTCAGGCCAACCTCCCCCAGGGCCTGGCATTCTGTAGGTGCCCAATATTATCTGCTGAAGTACTTTCTCAAATGTGAGGTGAATATTCTGAAGAGGCCAGAGCATGCTAGCCTTACACAGCTAGAGCTGACCTGATGGCAAAACTGGTGTTCTGCACATCTTCCTCCTCATCATCCTCATAATCATCCTCGTCATCTGAGTACTGCTGGGGTGGGCGGACTGGAACTCGACTGCGACCCACACCTGCTGCCAAGTCTTCCTCCTCCTGAGGAAGAACAGAGACCAGAGTAGTTATGAGAAAAGGCTGCTCTCAAAAGTTGGGCACAGCACTTGCAGGCAAGGAGAAGGATAACGTGACTCGCCAGGCTAAGCCCCTCCAGGTGCTCCCTATGGGTCCCAGGGAGGGTGCCTCCCACTGACACTGCACAGAGGCCTATGGAGAGCTTCTAAGACAAAGTACCTTTATTTTGCCAGCAGAACCCAATCTATGGAGATGTACCAAATGAGTACCCCCTAAACATTTAAGCCCAGTCATGTAACTGGATTTACAATTGGAGTTTTCCTTGCCACCTTAAGCCTTTGCTTTTGTGAGACTCTGATTATCAGAGGAACTTCCCAAACAGGCCCAAGCAGAGTGTGAACACCTAAGAGCCACCTGGGGAACTGCCATAGTGGTCCCTCAGAGGAAATCCTGCCAGGGACCTTCCAACTTACCTGCATGGGGGACTTGGCATAGTTGTGATTGTCTAGAAAAGCTGGCAGCCGCTGAACAATGGGGGTGGGGTTGGGAGGAACTCCATTGAGGCTGCTCCCTGGAGGCTTCACCACCAGCTTAGGTTTGCTGGGAGGACTGTGGGTTGGAGCTTGTGGGCATGACCCAGCTACCTCCTCTGCACCATCTGAGACAGGGCAAGGAGTACAGGCAAGACTTTCAGCTGGAAACTCAAGAGAAATACACGGTCTTCCCAAACCTGTGAATACACTGTTCCTTCTCTCTTCCCAGAAAACAGCTGAGTCATCTAAAGGGATGGGAGTGAATGAGCTCTAGAATGGTCCCACAGCTAGACTGGGAGAAGAATAACAGGAAAAAAAAAGGAAGCAGGAAGAAAAGGGGCCTCTAGAATAAAAGAGAAGGCATGTTACAGAGGGCTCAGACGCCTGGAGTAACAACCCTTTAAAGGTACCCTTTAGGGAAGGACTACTGTCTATATTTTGAGGGAGAGGCACTGGGCTTTAGGTCCTCCTGTAGGAACTTCTGCACAACTACCTAAGTATCTCCACAGAAAAGACTTGCATTACTGGGACCTCCCGGGTCAAGCTATGTATCTCCAGTACCTGTGTGGGTGCTCTCAGAGGCCACTTGGGCTCTGCCTGCCTCCAGTACAATAGGGGACTTGCTGCTGGCTGGTTTGGATTCCTCAGGCAGCTGTGACTCTTGAGACTTGCTGGTCTGAATAAGCTCTGGCTGTGTTACCCTAATCAACTGAAAACAGAAGCCAAGGCTCAGAGAGAGGCTAGAACCAGGCCTCCACTGGCTTGGGGGACAGCACAATGGCCTTGGTCCTACACATTCTCTCATTCATAGGAAAATAAAATCCATTTTAGATGCTATTCTCCCTTCCCACCCCCAAGTTCCAACTTTTCCACAAAGGAAGCAAAGGAAAAGAGTGGCTAGCTGTAATACAATCCACAAAAAAGTGTGATCAGGGAATCAAAGATGGTGCAGAGGAAGAAAAGATAGGGTTGGTCAGGCAAGGGAGACACCTACCTGCTGCAGAGCCTCGAGTACTGTCTGACGATTCACTTTCAGCACATGCAGCCTGGCCTCATACTTGATCCTGCGATCAGGTACCACTGCCATCAGGTTGAAGCGGATGTCGTGGTAGGGTTCCCTGCAGTCACAGCTACAGCTGTGAGAGCAGCTCCCACCATAGCCCCACCACTAGGCTGAGACAGATATCCTGGCAAGGCTCCCTACATTCATACTTTCACCACAGGTATAAGCCACACTTAGCAGGTAAACAGCAGGTAGCAATGCACAGTAGAACCTGAGCTGATGGCTTCTCATGAACTATACGAGAGGATGTTAGGAGGTGAGCCAGGGCACCTGGGCCACTCATCAAGGCCTTCTCCCATCACAAATGCAACCCAGAACAAGCTAAAGGTAGGCGGGTAAGGATTGGAAGCCCAAGACTTAAGCTTGATCTTGCCAGATTCACCATGGCCTTGCAATTTACAAATCACCTGGGCTCTCTCTGCATGGCATAGATACACAAGGGTAGAGTTAAGCTGACTCAGGGCTCTTACCCTGCAGTGGCAAGGCCAATACGCTCCATGATAACCCTCCGGGCTTTGTCTGTCCACTCTTCATCCTCTCCCCAGGGACCTATGGGAGACCAAGATAAGAAATCAGCAGGTGAGAAACCCTGAGTTTGAGCAGGCCAGGGAAGGAAGACAGACAAATATGGTTGAGACATGAGTTGATCAGATACAAGTACAAGATGAAACCCTAGCCAGAGTTAGATGTCTTCAGTACCTGCCATTGGGTCCAAAGCATCTGAGGAAAACTGGGCCTCAGACACCCAAGAGGTAAGCAGAGAAACCCAACAGGCCCCATCTCAAAGTGCCTACCATGATCAATAGGGTAGACTTTCAGCCCATCCAGCTCAAAGAGTCGTCCTGTGATAGGTACATAGCTGACAAAGTGGAATGCCTCCATGGTCCGCACTGCACTAAGGCCATTCTGTTTCTCAGGAAGATGACGTGGCTCTGGCCTGGGGGAAGGACAGAATCAGGTTTTTGTTGTTGTTGTTTTGTGTTGTTTTTTTTTTAAAGCCTCTTCCTCACCCTTAACCCAACATCAGTTCTCACATACCTAGCATGGCTATTATGTGCCTTGGCCAATTCTGGAGCATTGCCAATTGCATATCCTTTGCTCTAGGGGAAAGAAAATAAGGCCCCATCAGAAATGCTTCTCAGGTGGGCCTCCGGATGGGGGCAAAGCTCCAGAGACCAGGCGCAAAGGCATTTGAGGAATGTGAAGCTGCGCTTTCCTCAAGAGTTGGTGGGGGCAAAGAACTTTGGCAGTACAGAAATGAGCGGTACTGTCCTTGCACAGTAATCACAGGACATTGAGGAGCAACACAGCTTGATAGAAACAGTCCCAACAGAGAAGGTTCTGACATGTTACTCAGGTCTCTACTACCTTTCCTAACAACTGAGCCTAAATTCAACTGCCTTGCACAGTTCTTTAACAGTGTAATGTTAATGGCCATTTGAAAAAGAAAACAGCCAAATAGTAGTAAATATCATATGGTAGTATTCCGAATGCCCCTGAGGATGACATCTGCTCAGCTAGCTGTGAGTTAGGATTAAGAGACAGCAGCCTACCTCCGGGCTGAAGCCTTTGGTGAAATCTTTCATACGACTCAGTGTGGGTCCCAGATCCACATTGCTGCAGTTCAGGAGTACGCTCAGCAAGGCATGAGTGGCACAAGAGTTGGGGATCAACTGTGAAACCAAGAATCATCACTATAAATAGTATCTGTCATGCTAAGTTTCCCAAGCCTACTTTCTTTGGGAATGAGGATAGAGACAGGGAGTTATATCTAGACAACAACTCTTGTCAGCTCTCTTCATCTTTACTGTTCATTTAACATGAATCAACTAAATACCCACCAAGAATCTGAGGACATGGAAAATGGACTGAGAAACCACACTACTGTAAGGTGTTCCCTTTAATGAATAAGAGCTAGGTTCCTTGTGCCAAGGGATTTCTGTAACCATCACCTTTGGTTTCTCTCTTCCTGCCTTCCCTATTTCCATTTCCCAAGGGGGGAGAAAAACAAAAAACCTAGCAGCATCCCACCCTCCAAACAAGCACAGAGCCCAGCAGACCTGGTGGGCAAAGAACATATTATTCACAATATCGTCATCAATCACGGACGTATCATCCACCAAAGTAGAGACTTTGCGACGGGACCTGCGCTCTTCGATCCATTTGAACAGGAAGATGAATCCATATACGGGGCTGGGAAATTAAGGAGCAGAAGGCAATCAGCATCCCTCCTTCCTTTCCCTATTCCTTTGCACTGTCATCATTGGGATGCACTTGCCATGATTCCACCTCTCCCCTGGGTTCTTCCTAATGCTGTATTTAACGTGGCTCTCACACCCCAGAGGCAGAGTCAAACATCAACTCTAACTGTGGTGCTCCAGTCCACCATTCTCTTCATGAAGGCTACGGTTCTGGGTAAGAGAAGAAAGACTGAAACTGCCACTATGTCCAGGGTAGAGCAGGGCAGGAACACAAAGTAAGGCAATAACAAAAACTGCTACGAAATTCAAGCATCTGAACCCCACTAATGCCAGGAAGGCATACAAACACCCAACTTGCATCACTTTTTTTTGGAGGGAGAGAGAGGGAAGCAGACTTCTTGGTTTGGTCCTGAATGTGGTACCTCAGAATATGGCCTTGTCACCAATCAATACTAGATGACCTTTGTGTGATTGAAGCCACAGCACAAATGGACATGTAATTAATGACGTGCAGTTGCACAAAAGGTATTATGTGACTTGGGTCTTAACTGCTGCAAGACCAGAAAAGGCAGCTAAACCCTAAGAATGGTTAGAGTTAGGGAAGGAAAACACTGTGGAAGATTAAATTGGAAGAAAACAACAACAACAACAAAAATCCGATTAGAAGAGCACCCAGACCATGGGATGTGATATTTTACAATTTGGATTTCCAGATACTGATTCCCTTGAGGAACCCCCACTTCCTCAGTCCCAGCCCTCCAGGTGTAAGAGGCAGCCCTGCCACTCACCCTTGGCATTTGCTCTGAAGATCATAGATCTCCTCCACCTGCACCCCTTTGACACCTACAATAAGGAAAAGAAAACGGGTCGGGAAGAGCAAGGCGCCCCTGCAGCGAGAGCACAGGGATGGGTCCCCCACGACCCCAATCCAGCTTGCAGAGGAGTTTCTTACCGAAATCTTCCACCAGGAGGGTGAAGAGGCCTGGTTGGGGCGACAAGGGGAGCAAGAAGTATCAGGCAGGCGCGCCCCAGGGCCCATCGGATTCCCCAGCCCCCAGCCCGCCCGGCCCTCTTCTCACCCGGGTCGCTCTCCAGCTCCAGCCAGCCCTTATTCATCTTCCCGCGGGGCGGCCCCTCAGCGCCATGTCCAGGCCCTCCCCACCCCCCGCCGCCCACCGCCGGGAGCCCCCTCCGCTCCCGGGGCCCCTCAGCCCCACACACACGCACACACACACACACACAGACACACAGACACACACACACACACACAGACAACGGGCCCCGCCGCGTCACCAGCCCGCGCCGGCAGGATGACGTCACTGCGGAGCGACGAGCCCGCCCCGGGACTCCTCTTCCGCTTGCCACGCTGAGGAGGGCACGCACTCGGAGGCGGAGGCAGATGCGTACGCGCGACTGGGGGCGGGGCGAGCGCGTGGCCGTTAGCGGTCCGACTCGCCCAACTGCCGGTTTTCCTACGGCCCTCGTGGGGCCGCAGTCCTCGTGGCCCCGCCCCTGCCTGAGCCCTCGCCTCCTTCGCCCGCGCAGTCACCACGCGGGGCGGCCGCCCGTGAAGTAGCTATCACGGCTTGTGACAACGAATAAATCCCCGAGATAGCGGCGCCCTCAGCAACAGCTGGGTGAGCAGCCCCGGCCCGGGAGTGGCGGCCCGTACGCGACCGTGAGGAGCGAGCGGCGGAGGCGACCTCCAGCCCGGCCTCGCACCAGCCACCCGGCCGGCGCGACATGAGCCTGGTCTGGCATCCACGGGATGCTCCTTGAACCCCTTCTCCGGCTGTTACCTCTGGAGGACGGTTGTGGCCACACGGATACGTATTTTCCAGATAGATCATTCTTTATTCTTGCGATCGCGGCGGAGCCGAATGCGTTATTTTTAATTTTTTCAGCAAGCACTTAGCCAGCACTTAATCCAGAAAAACATCTTGGTAAGCTTTTCGAGGGAGCACGAGCGGATGGTGGAAGTCACGTCCCTCAGATGTTTTGGAAGGTGGTTGCATCCTTTAACTCCTAGTGGGACCAGATTCTTCTTTCTCAAGGAACGTCGTGATCCAGCGATGCAAAGAACCGAAGTTTCAAGGTTTATTGCAAAGATGGTGGGGGATAGCCCGGTTGTCAGCTCCGGTGCCTACCCCAGTTGGAACAGCAAAGTTAGTGCGCGCCTTTCTCTCCTCCTCCAGCCTGTCTTAGTGCTTTTTGGGTGGAGTCGGGAGGCAACAGATTGTCAACTTCTGCAATTTCCTCTGCTGGCTTGGAAGAGGAGATGGGGCTCGCACTAAAAGAATGGGTGAGCAGGCCAGCCTTCCTATGGCCTCAGTAGCCACGTTCATGCAGGCAAAGGTCTCTAAAGAGATTCAGAATGCTCAGCCTTGATCTGAGGCTGGGGCACTAGAGTATATAATCCCTCGTTCAGGTAGCACTCATTAGAAACTATCTTTCTTCTTCCTCTGACTTGACAGTAATACTTTCTTCATGGGATAGATTGGTTTCTTTTGTCCCCATTCAGGGGTTTACCCTGGGCCATTGAAAACTATTAATTTGTAATCCTAGCAACAGGAGGAGTTGCACGGTATTTTCTCCACTGTGGGACATTTTATTCTGCTAAGGTCTAGACAAAAGTTGGGGACAAACCAAATTTCAGTGGTCATCTGTGTCTAGTTTAAAAAGGGGGCGGGAATAAAGGGGTGTTGGTATTATTCTTTGTCATCTAGCTTTTTCTGGGTAGGATTAAGGCACCCACATTTGGATGCCTTTTTTCCTGAGTGCTGTCTCCTGCATTTAGTAGGCACCAAAAAACTATTTTAACTAAGTCAAGTAGTGTTCCAACTTAATACACAACATGGGAGTCAGTATTGCCCTCTGGAATGAAGCTACTTCAGATCCTACCTTTATTATGAACTCTGGCTTTGGGTGAAATATTTTGTTTGTGCCTCAGTCTCTTCACATTGAAAATGGAGGTAATTCTACCTAGTGCATGGGATCCTTATGTGTTAACACCCAGCGTGCCTACAACATACCCAATTTAATAATGATTGGCTAGTACTAACAATGATACTTGGTATCCCTTTTATTCTACCACATGTATTGGGAGATGATATGCACTATTGACCTTTGTGGAATGTGATATTCAGATGAGAATTAAATTACTGCTCCATGGTTTCGGAGCATTACTCAAATGGTAGAGCATTTACCCAAAGCAGTCCTAAATTCAATCCCCAGTACTCCACACACACAAAATACTGACCAAACCCTATTTATATTCATAGCTGGAAGAGCCTATATTGTCCTCATCATAGTACAGAAGAATTCAAGATAGGACAGAGAGGCAGCAACGAATGAAGACTATAAAAGAAAAGAAGGAATGCCAAAGACTGAGGTAGATTAGTTGACGAGAGTGAGTTGGGAGAAATTGTCCAGTGGCCAGTGGTACATAAAACACTCTTGCTCCCCTTGGCATGTCTCAGGCTGGGATTGAACTGTGTGAAAGTACATATCAGGGGTTCCTGGACACTGCCTTTCTTAGTGTACCGTAGTTGTCCTGGGTAGCTAGCTCTGAAACTTTATTACCTAAATCCGCATCTTCTCTCTACCATTTGCTGTGTGTCCTGGGACAGGTCATTTCTTTATGCTCCAGTTTTCTCATCTAGTAAATATGCACATTAATGTACCCACTTTTTAGTGTTGTACATCACTGACCTATACTGTACATTCCTTGAGCTAGTACATGTTAAAATGCCAAGAATAGACCAGATGGAACAAAACACCAATACACTTCTGGCACATTTGTCCTTTCCTTTTAGGGGGGATGGGGGAAAACCAGAAATGCTCTCCAGTTCTTGCAAGAAATGGGGGGAAAGGCACAGGATTTGAAACATGTTGGATGACGGGGACCAGCAAAAAACTGGAGGAGTCCCTGGATCTCATCAGGCTCAGCCTGAATGAGAGGATTTTATGTGAAGATGAGAAATGACTGAGAGCTTCAAGGCAGATTCATGCTTATGACCAACATTTAAATATGATACTGGGAAATGTGGAAGACATAGTGACCAACATAGAAATTGACGAGAAGTGTGAAGAGATACATAAACAAAACAGAATATTCCAGTGCTCTTTGTCAGTGGAGATGGTGTTGTACTCCTCTGAGAGTTGGAACCAAGAATTTATCCCATGTAGAAAGTAGGAGACTTGGTAAAATTGCCTCTTCAAATGTAGAAGTCATTCAGAGAACCCTGCATACCTTTTGATATTAAGTTATGATCAAGGATTCTTCTACCCCGAGATGATTGATTTGCAAATAACTTACAACTTCTTAAGCTAAATGGTGTTCATATTTTTCTCCAACTGTTCCAATAAATGTGACACCAAGCTGCTAGACTCCTCAGGAGTGATTTGCTCCATTGTTCCTGCAAACAATTTCTGAATGTTCTTCAAATTAAATTTGATGTTTTCTTTCTAATCTAAAAAGAAGAATATGCCTGGTGCTAGTGGCTCACACTTGTAATCGTAACTTCAGGATGGTGAGATCCAAGGATCTCTGTTCAAAGCCAGCCCAGGCAAGAAAGTCCATAACACTCTTATCTCCTATTAAGCACCCAAAAAAGCTGAAAGTAGGAGAGTTCTAGCCTTGAGCAAAAGAACTCAGGGGCAGTGCCCAGCCCCTGAGTTCAAGCCCCAGGACTGGCCCCCCAAAAAAAGTGTACAGAAAACGTGAAGAATAGTGTCTATCAATGTGAAATGCTCAGTGAACTTTGGTATCACTTTACTGTGCATTAGGAAGATGGTACCACCTAAGATTCCAAGTAGTTGTCAGAAAAAGAATAAAGAATTTGCTTTTACATTTTCATTCAGTCAACATAGGCAGTGCAGGCTCTTGGGACAGAAAGACGATATCAGAAAGATTGTTTAACCTTAACACTAACCCATACTTTCAAATAATGTAATGGGTATGTTTTATGCTTGGAAAATATGAAAAACACTTAGTATATTAGCCTTTAGATATTTTGGGCCTCCATAAGATATGTGATATTTTAAGGGTTGGCCACCTTGTACTTCTTTTTCTCTTGTATAGAAAATCTGCCAGGACTAGAAGGGTAATCCAGAGAAAACCATCTTCAGAGCCTGGTAAGAAAAATGAAGCTGTGTTTGGCCACTGTGTCCAGACCTTAGCAAAGAAGGCCACTTGTGTGAGGCAGTTAGCTTGCTGCCCTCACTGTCAACCCCGCTTCCTTCCCAGATTCTCCCAAGATATGAAGAACTCAGGGTCTGTAACTTAAATTTTTTGTTTGAAGTTTATAAAGCAAGTTAGTTAAAAGCCACTTGACACCAACATAATAGGAAGTTGTTTTAGCCAAATCCTTCAGTATCATATAAATTATATCAAGGCCTGACATACCAAATGACACCTCATCTTAACCTTTATCACTTCCAAAATGACTCATTTTTCAACCCAGATGGTCCTTGATTATCTGGCTTTATAGTGATATGAAAACAAAATATTTTTACCTTTTCTTGTGCTGGCAAAATTTCTGGTACAGTGTTCTCTTTAATGCTGGGAAACAGCCGCAAAATACAGCACCCAGTCAGCTATACAAGCATGAGAGGGAAAAAAGGTCTATTATATGAATTTTCAAATTATATCTGGACATAAGCCCTTTGTAAGCTGAGGGGCCTTTATACTCCTTCCTATACTTAAGTAGTTGGTTCCCATTTTTTTGTGGTTTTATTTTTCTTCTTCCATTCTTTTTGGGCCTTTTTTCCAGTCTTGAGGCTTGAACTCAGGGCCTGGTGCTGTCCTTGAGCCTCTTTGACTCAAGGCTAACACTCTACCACTTGAGCCACAGCATTACTTCTGGCTTTTTGGGGTAGTCTATTGGAGATAAGAGTCTTATGGGGGCTTTTCTGCCCAGGCTAGCTTCAGACCGAGATCCTCATATCTCAGCCTCCTGAGTAGCCAGGATTACAGGCGTGAGCCACTAGCACCTGGCTTCCTCTTCCATTAATGGTCAAATTGAGCCAGGCCTATATAATTAACTTTTTGTTTTTCAATACTAGTGTTTGAAATCAGAGCCTCATACTTGCTAGGCAGGTGTTGTACTACCATGCTTTTCAGCCTTTTTTGCACTAGTTTTGATTGTTTTTTGTCGGTTGTGGGGCTTGAACTCAGGGCCCAGGCGCTGTCCCTAAGATCAAGGCTAGCACTACCACTTGAGCCACAGTTCCACTTCTGGTGTTTTGGTGGTTAATTGGAGATAAGAATCTCATGGTTTTTCCTGCCTGGGCTGGCTTCAAATTGTGATCCTCAGATCTCAGCCTCCTAAGTAGCTAGGATTACAGGTGTTGAGCCATCAGCACCCGTCTGCAGTACTCTGCAGTACTGATTTTGAGATAGGGTTTTGCGTTTTGCATGACCCATGCACTGGGATCCTGTTTTTATGCTTTCACCATAGCAGAAATGACACACACATACCACCATTCCTAGCTTATTCAATTGAGACAGTCTCTCCAACTTTTTTGCTCAGCAAGCCTGGAACCAAGATGCTTCCCAATTCAGCTTCCTATATAGTTAGGATCACAGGAGCTACTGTGCCCAGTTAATCCTAAGGTTTATTCTTCTAGTTTGCAGACTATGCCTTCGAGAACCTGGGGATCCTGAAAAGCTAGGAGAATTCCTTCAGAAAGACAATCTCAGTGTGCATTATTTCTGTCTTGTGAGTATAAGCTTCCTTTGCTTTGTAGGTTTTATAGCTTTTGCTATACAGACTATTTTTTAATCTAGCCTTAAGCTCATAGTCTGAATAAAGACAATGTTTTCTTTTTTTCAATTTTTGTTTTCTATTTCTTCTTGCTTTCAATAAAGCTAAATCCTTCAACATAATGTTCAATAGAAGTGGTGTCAGTGTCATTCATGTCTTGTTCCCAACATTAGAGGGCAGTATCTAGTTTTCCACCATTATAAATATGATTTTAGCTGTAAGGTTTTGTTATAGGTGCTTTCTGTCAGATTGAAGTTCTCTTTTTTACTGAGGCTATCATGAATGTGTATTGAATTCGTCAAATGTATTTCCTGCTTCTGTTGAGATTATCTTAATTTTTCTCTTAATTTGTTAATGTGGTTTGTTACAACTGGATTCTTTAATCTTACATTCTTTGAACATACCCTATTTGATCATAATGTATTATCCTTTAAACATAGTGTTGGATACAACTTGTTAATATTTTGTTTGACTTTTACATCTGTGTGCATGAAAAAGAGCTCTGATTTTCTTTTCTTGGATGTCCTGCAGGTCTCAGGGCTTTGTTAATTCTGATGCATTTACAAGATTATACATTTTTAACATAAAAATAAACATACTATATACAATATTTTGTATCTTGTTTTATTTTCCTTTCCATATATTTTATAGATCTTTGGATATAGAACCTATGGACGTAGGGTTTTTTTTTTTCTTTTAATTGCTAATTGATATTTTATGATATGGGTGGCCAAGAAATATTAAAACAAACTCCTATTAAAGGATATTTTTAGATTATCTGATCTTTACTGGCTTTTCTGCTTATAGAAATAACACATGCTTATTATATCTAGAAAATGTGAATATTACTTAAAAGTATAAGTTAAACAAAAATCATTCATGCTATGCTTAAAGCTTTAAGGTAACTAGTATTTAGATACATTTGTTTAAGCATAATTAGTAACATATAGCTATAAGCTAAATACCCCTGAAGTCATCTAACATTATGGTGTTGCCTTTCCTATAATGTCAAAATAAGATAACCTGATGCACTTGGGAAATTGAGGTAGGAAGATCACAGTTCAAGGCCAGCCTTGACAGCAAGACCTGTCTCAAAAAAAAAAAAATCTGAGCTCCTATTACACATTTCATACAACTACTTCATATAACTGAAAGAAGTTCAGATATCTTGTTGTTGTTGTTGTTGTTCGGTCGTGGGGCTTGAACTCTGGGCTTGGTCGCTGTCCCTATGCTCTTCAGCTCAATGCGAGTGCTCTACCACTTGAGCCACAGCGCCACTTCCAGTTTTCTAGTGGTTTATTGGAGATAAGGCCTCACTATTTCCAGATACCTAACCCTCTAGCCTCAGCCTCCCAAGTGCTATGATTACAGCTGTGACCTACCATGCCCAGCTGCTTCTTTCTCCTTGATTTCCCACTCCAGATTCTACCTAGGAAGCTTTTCAGAAACAAAAGGCCCATTATCCCAGGTATGGTACTTCATGCCTACATTCCCAGTACTTAGGAGGTTGAGGCAAGAATTTGGGACCAACCTGAGTTATATAGCTAGACCCTATCTTAAAAACATAAACAAAGAAACAAAGTACATTTTTAAAAGTACAATTCCTGCTGGGTATCAGTGACCCATGCCTATAATCCTAGCTATTCAGGAAGCTGAGATCTAAGAGTTTCAGTTCAAAGCCAGCCTTGAACAGACAAATCCAAGAGACTTATCTCCAGTTAACCAGTAAAAAGCCAGAAGTGGAGGCTTGGCTCCATTTGGTAGAGTGCCAGCCTTGAGGCTGGACACTGGTGGCATACTCCTATAATCCTAGCTATTCAGGAGGCTGAGATCTGAGAATCCCAATTAGAAGCAGCCTGGACAAGAAAGTCTGTGAGACTCTTATCTCCAATCAACCACCAAAAAAGCCAAAAGTGTGAGGTGTGGCTCAAATGATAGAGTACTAACCTTGAGCAAAAAGCTCAGAGACGGTGCCCAGTTCTTAAGTTCAAGCCCTAAGACATGTACACAACAAAAAATAGCCTAGCAAGAGTGTGAGGCCCTTCGAGCCCCAGTACCAGCACTGAATAAATAAATACACAACTTCTTCCCTTCTATAATACAGTATGCCAGTCCTAGGGCTTGAACTCAGGACCTGGTGCTGTCCCTGAGCTTTTTGCTCAGGGTTCCACTTGAGCCACAGCTCCACTTCTATCTCTTTTGGTAGTTAATTGGAGATAAATGTCTTACAGGCTTTCCTCCCCAGGCTTGCTTCAAACCTCATCTGACATTCCCAGATTCTCATATTTCAGCCTCCTGAGGAGCTAAGATTACAAGCATGAGCCACTGGCACCCGATCTACCAGATAAACTTTTAAAATACTGTTTTCCCTTCTGTCATACTCTGACAAAAGTATTCTGTACTGAAGAAGAATATAGCAGAAAGAATAAAGAGTAGGGTCTGTAGGTCCAGGTGTGAATGCTACTTCTGCTACTCCTTGTCTTGTGACCCTAGCCCATGTCACTTGTCACACTGTACCTCAGTGGCCACTGTAAGATAAAGGTCACAATAACTTTGGTATCATAGAGTTGTGGTATGCACAAAATGAATATGTACAAAGGAAATGTTTTCCCAATGTTCAGAGCTCACAATAGCAGCAGCCCTCAGTAAATGAGAGGCAGTATAATATAAAGGTACATGGGAGCACAGTTTCTGGATCTCTGTGGCCTTGAGAAAGTCACATCTGTGGAAAGTTTATTCAATGGGTTAATATTTGGATATTAAACTACATAACTTGAGGGTAGGGATGGGAGGGAGAAACTGGGGGAGAATGATGGAAGGGATGGCATTGATCAAGATGCATTATGCTCATAACTAGACATACGGAATTGTCACCTCTTTGTATAACCACTTAATAAATTTGAAACATGTGTAATTATTCCCAGCCCATAGTGCTACAGAAGCCTTCATAAAGAAATTGTCCTATAAATATCTGTGAGATACATATACATATATGTATGTATATGTGTGTATACACACACTGTATATAAATATATATATATTCCAGCACATTATTTCTTAGCTCTCCTTCCTAGTCATTGTCACCCCACTGCACTATTTCACTGCTCATCCCTGTTGACCGCCTGGTTCTGCTGCTCCCTCAGATATTATCTAGTAAGCTGCCTCAGAGGGGCCAATCCAACAGAGGTTTCCATGGATTCCTGCCTGAAGACATCAAAAAAGAGGCAGCCCGGGCTTCTAGGAAGGTTAGAATCCTTTGAAATGGCTAGGCCTCTCCCAATGCCTCTCAGAATCCCTGTTTCTAGCAGTCAAATGACTTGGATTTTCCAAGATCTCTCTCTCTCTCTCTCTCTCTCTCTCTCTCTCTCCCTCTCTCCCCCCCCCCCTCTCTCTCCCCCCCCCCTCTCTCTCTCCCTCCCTCCCTCCCTCCCTCTCCTCCTCCTCCTCCCTTCCTTCTGGTGTGTGTATGTGTATGTGTGTGTGTGTGTGTGTGTGTGTGTGTGTGTGTGCTTGTCTTCATGCGTACACCTGCATACACATGCGTACTATGCTGAGGATAGAATCCAGGGTGTATGTGTATTGTGCTAGGGATCATACCCAGGATTTATGCATGCTAAGCAAGCTCTCTACTACTAAGCTACACCTATAATACTGGTCCTTCTCTTAAATCTCATTCTCCTTTGAATGTAGCATCCTAAGTAAGGAAAGAGGACAACATCCTGAGAAAACAGCTCAGTGCTGCTTGAAGCTCAATTTTAGGGATGCCCTAGAGCTTTTAGGACCAATGAGGAAAAAGAATGGTTGTTGCTTCTCATTTCCATTCCATAGAAAGATGTGTTTCTTGGGTCACTGAGAATTGTCTGGGATCCCATTTGCAGATCTGCTTTGTGTGCAAGAAAAAAGGAGCTGCTATCAGTTGCCAGAAGAACCATTGCGTCAGAAACTTCCATCTGCCTTGTGGCCAAGAAAGGGGTTGCCTTTCACAATTTTTTGGAGAGTACAAGTAAGTGAAGGAGTAAAGTTAAGCTGCCCCTTTGCAACTTGCTGTTTAGCCACGTAATGAAATCAGAACTGAGTTTTCACAGGCCTGTTTCGATTCACCAACAAATCTGTCCCTCCACTCAATAATGGGAAACAGTGTCTTGACTTGGATATTTCACAGGGGTTTCTTCTTGCTTCCTGTCCCCTTCTTAAATTGCAAACAGCTGGGGTTCACAGACAGCTGCTCAGAACTAAGTGGGGTTTTTAAGAATGAGAGGTTGGGGAGACAGCCGTGGGAGCTTTGCTTGGGGGAAGAGTAGCCGTGAGAAAACATGGGGCTGTTCTTCACCCTGCTTATACTCCTCCCCAAATGTGGAGGTTCACTGAGCACTGGCCTGGATGACTGATTTCTTAACCGTCCTAGGCCAGGCAGCTGGGAGTCTGCATCAGTGACAATTCTGTTTACCCTGTCATAGATCATTTTGTGGAAAACATCGCCCAACACAGAACATCCAACAGGGGAAATTGAGGGAGGAAAACTGCGTCTTATGTTGTGAAGACTTATCTCAAGCGAGTGTTGAGAACATCCAGAGCCCATGTTGTAGTCAAACTATCTACCACCGCAAGTGCATCCAGGTAGGGCTTTCTCTACCCTTGGGGTGGAGTGGCCTTCCATGGTTACCTTAGTTCCCTGCATGAAACACTCAGGCAAGCTTTAATTCAGCACTCTAGGCTACAGGCCTATATACAGGACTGCTTCTGATCAGTGAAAGTAGCCTAGACTCTGGCCATCCTTGGACCTTAACATCTCATTCATGATAAGACAGGCTGAGCAAAATCCTCTGGATAGGTGCTGATGACTTACATCTGTAATCCTAGCTTCTCAGGAATCCGAGATCTGTGGATTGCAGTTCGAAGGCAGCCTGGGTAGGAAAATCTGTGAGACCTTTATCTCCAATTAACCACCAGAAAACCAGAAGTGGAGCTGTGTCTCAAACTGGCAGAGTGCTACCCTTTAGCAAAAAAAGCTCAAGGATAGCACCCAGGCCCTGAGATCAAGCCCCATGATCAACAACAAAAATTCCTCTGGATTGCTAGAGCAAGTAGACTCATCCCAGAATTAATCAAGTAGCTTCAAAATCAGCTTCATTACTGGGATGAAAGAAAAAATGTATTCAGGCACATGACCCCTACTTAGCACCATTAAGACCTGTGGCCAGAAATTATAATTAAGGCACTCTGGGAACTATTTTTGAAAGCATTTTGGTTCCAAACTTGACAAGTGATTTTGCAGCTTTCACCCTAGTCTACCCAAACTGCTTTTCCTGAACACCACCCCCTATAGGGTAAGTGTGGGAATGGGAAGAAGGTAGTCAGTGTTTGACAAACACAAAGCTCTTCCATGTTTCTTTTTGCAGAAATATGCCCACACATCAGCAAAGCATTTCTTCAAATGTCCCCAGTGCAACAACAGAGAAGAGTTTCCTCAAGAAATGTTAAGAATGGGAATTCATATTCCAGACAGGTATTATTCCACAAGAATTATTCCAGGGAGTGGGTTGCCTAGATTTTTAGAGAGGAGATAAGTATGAGAATAATTTGGACAATGAGCATGGTGAAGGAAGGTATGGATAGATGGTAAGGAGAGTGCTTTGTAGTTACCAAAATAAAAGGAAGGAGCAAGATGCTGGTTTCTCACACCTGTAATCCTAGCTACTCAGGAGACTGATTGCTGAGGATCATAGTTTGATCTAGCCCAAGCAGGAAAGTCTGTGAGATTCCTATCTTCACTTAACACCAGAAATCTGGAAATGCAGCTATGGCTCAAGTGGTAGAGTGCTATTCTTGAGGGAAAAAAAACCTCAGGGACAGTGCCCAGGCCCTGAGTTCAAGCCCCAGGACTGGTGAGAGAAAGGAAGGAAGGGGAAGAAGGAGAAGAAGGGGAGAAAGGAAGGAAAGAAGAAGAGGAAGTAGGGAGAGGAGGAAGAGGGAAGGGCGGGAGGGAGGAAGGGAAATGAGCTGAAGGCATGTTTCTGAAATGGGTACTCTGGGGATCAGAATTCCCTGGGGGATTGGGTTCTTGAACTCTAGGGTGAAACTGAGGAACCCCTGTGTAAGATTCCCACATCCCTCTCCCACAGTCCCCCAGCCTTGGTGAACTTGTGCTGTACTTAGCTATGCTTAGCTTGGGTCATTAGTTCCTTCCTGGTGGACAAGGAGGATTGTATGTTTTTTACTGTGTTTCTTCTCCCACTGCAGAGATGCTGCCTGGGAACTTGAACCAGGGGCTTTCTCAGAGTTATACCAGCGCTATCAGCATTGTGATGCTCCAACCTGTCTGTATGAACACGGCAGAGACACCTTTGAGGATGAAGGGTAGGGAGAAGCTCCTGGCTAGAAAGCTCTTATGAGTGCCATCTTGGAGTTAGACTTTGGCACAATTATTAGGAGAAACAAATTCCTCCTGCCTTCAAACCTTTGGATGCTAATTGTTAAGTCCCATTTTTTAAACTTTTATTTTTTGTTATTATAAAGGTGATATACAGAGCTAAGTCCCATTCTTGACCAGCCCCCAACTTACTATATACAGACAGGTCTCCTTTGCAAGGTCTACTTCTGATGCTAGTAAAGAAACATGCATGACTAATTCCTTTCCAAATCCATCTTGTAAAGGGCTATGCCTACTTGCAGGCTCCTGGAATTACCATATTCAGGCTCTCTAAACCTCAAACCCGTGATGGTTGAAATGTATAGTTTAAAAAAAAAAAAAGCCTAAGGCTAGGCACTGGAGGTTCACACCTACAATCCTAACTAGCCAGAAGGCTGAGATCTGAGGATCACAGTTCAGAACCAGCCCAGACAGAAAAGTACATGGGACTCTTCTCCAGTTAACTAGCAAAAATCTAGAAGTGGGGGTGTGGCTCAACACACACACAAACATATATATGTACACACATACACATACACACAGAGCCCAGGAAGCATTTCACATTGCTGAGGTTGGCCAGCAGCAAACATCTCTCTTTGGCTCTTCCTATAGGAAGTGGTGCCTTATTCTGTGTGCTACGTGTGGATCCCATGGAACCCATAGAGACTGCTCCTTTCTTAGATCCAACGGCAAGAAATGGGAATGTGAGGAGTGTTCACCTTCTGCTTCAATCACAGGTGGAGCTGGAAGGATGGTTTGGTCTATAAACTGAGATAGGGCTGGGGACTTGTGGTGCTTGGGAATGGAGGAAGCATTCCCAAGAGAGGGGCTTTTAGTGGGGTCTTTAGCTTTGGAAGGAAAATGACTTGGGCAGGACCTAAGGACCTGCACCTGGGAGAAACAAAGTGCTTAGTTTTCTTTTCCTGCCTTTCTTTCACCAGACTATGTACCTGAAAACTCAGATGACATCCCCTGCTGCAGCAGCACCTTCCACCCCCAGGAGCAACTCTGCAGAGATTCCAGTCTGGGAGAGAATCCAGGCCCTTCTTGGAATGACTGGCCAGGAACTTCCTCGGTAGAAAATCCAGAGTCCTCTGATGGCAGGAGGAGCCATTCCTGGCAGTCCAAGGGAATCAAAACCCCTAAGAGCTGCAAAAAATCCCAGTAACAGCTTCTGAGTAGTTGCTGCCAAGCACAATTAGGTACGAAGTAGCATTCCTCCATTGGGCTTGGGGGAGGAGGGAGCATTTGGGGACTGTAAGACAGGGAAAGAGGGCCAGCAGTAAGACTATGAGCCAAGCAAAGAAACCCCAGGAGAGTGTGAGGGAAGAGCAGAGTCAAGATGCCAACAGCCAGATGTATTTGTGGCTCTGAGAGTGCCTTTGCTCTTTCCTCCCAGTTCTCTTTCTTCCACCTTAATCTGGTTCTCATATGCCTCTTCTTACTTCACTCATGCTTGTTATTTTGCAAATAAAAGTTTTCTCTCCATTGATGTCTCCTTATAAATTCACTCTGGAACTTGTTTAAAATGCCAAAGAGCCTGGACACTGGTGACTCACGCCTGTAATCCTAGCTGCTCAGGAGGCTGAGATATGAGGATCACGGTTTGAAGCCAACCCCGGGCAGAAAATCCATAAGACTAATCTCCAATAAACTACTTAGAAAAATCCAGAAATGGTGCTGTGGCTCAAGTGGTAGAGTGCTAGCCTTGAACACAAAGAGACTCAGGGACAGTGCGCAGGCCCCAAGTTCAAGCCCCAGGACTGACCAAAAAACAAACAAACATTAAAGAGTCTGGATAAAGTAACGGAAATTGAAAACTTACCCTTTTAATAGCATAAGGAAAGCTATTGGACAGTAATGAGGATAGGAGGAGCCAGGAAAGAGCAATAGGTAAGGTTTATCTGACTAAATTATGTGCATATATGAATTACCATGGTAAACCTTCACATAATTGATATATGCTGGAACAGAAATGAATCACAGGAAAAGTAAACTATGCTATGTTGGGGAAGCAAGTATCATTGAAAAGAAGGACCAGTAGAAGGTGACTGGCAAAGTAGTTTGTATGCATGTGTGAAAACAGAGCGATGAAACTTGGTGGAACTGATTTAGAAAGGGGAGAGGGTGGATGGAGGGAGAGAGATGCAAGTGGTAAATTTGATTGGGGTACATTGTACATATGAAAATTACACAAATCCCCTTGTATCACTAATATATGCTAATAAAAATCTTCTTTAAGAAATTCACCCTTCTAATACATAAAGTTTAGTATTTAATATAGGACTTTCAAGATAGAACATAGATGTGTTTCTTTTTCCTTTTTCTTTTTCTCTCTTTTTGTTGGTTGTGGGGCTTGAACTCTGGACCTGGACACTGTCCCTGAGTTCTTCAGCTCAAGGTGAGCACTTGAGCCACAGCGCCACTTCTGGTTTTCTAGTGGTTTATTGGAGATAGGAATCTCAAGGACTTTTCCTGCCTCAGCTGGCTTTTAACCAGGATCCTCAGATCTCAGCCTCCTGAGTAGCTAGGATTACAGGCGTGAGCCTCTGGTGCACGGCATAGATGTATTTCTTTGGGAGGTAGTTATTCTGTAGGGAAATATTCTAGGGGCAGAAATTCTTATCCTTGTACGAGTAAGTACAAGGTACAGAGCTGAGCACTGGTGGTTCATGCTTGTAATATTAACTACTCAAGAAGCTGAGACTTGGAGGATTGTGTTTTGAAGCCAGCCTAGGCAGAAAAGTCAGACTCCATCTCCAATTAACCAGCAAAACTTGGGCAGGGGGCATGGAACAAGTGGCAAGAAAGCTGAGCAAATGCTTGAGGCTGATTTTAAGCCTGAGTACCAGGAGGGAAAAAAGGAAAAGAAAAGGAAGGGGAACAAAAGGGAAGGGAGAAGGGGAGGGGAAGAAAGGGGAAAGGAGGAGAGGAGAGAGGAGGGAAAAGAAAAAGGAAAAGCCAGCCACTGATGGCTCATGCCTGTAATCTTAGCTACTCAGAAAGCTGAGATCTGGGGATGGTGATTTGAAGCCAGCCTGGGCAAGAAAGTCTATAAGACTCATCTCCACGAAACTACAAAAAAAAAAAAAAAAAGCCAGAAGTGGAGTTGTGGCTCAAGTGATAGAGCACTAGCCTTGAGTAAAAGGAGCTCAGGAACAGCACCCAGGCCATGAGTTCAAGCCCCATGACTGGCACCAAAAGAGGGGGGGCAAAAGAGAGAGGGGAAGAAGAAAGAAAAAATGAAAGAAAAACCAACATAGTAATCCACATAAGTGAGAACAGGTCCTTGTTGCTAGGCTTGGGGCCCTCAACTCAAACGTGTTGAAATGCATGTAGGATAGTCATAGCACACTCCACAGCTGGGGTAAGCCACTCAAACCTCTCAATCCTGGTAGTTTGAGCATTTCTGTCTATAATGTATGAATTTTCATGCCAGGACATTCACATTAGGCAAGGCATCTAGGATGAGGATGTGACAAAAAGCCTAGGGAGAAATTTGATAGAGCCTATCTAACATTTGTATGTTTTCAATGACTTCATGGGATCTGGATAAGTGAGGAAAACTCAGAAACCTTGCCAGATACTGAATTCTCAGGGTTGCACTGAGTCATTGTCACTTAATAGTAGAGGACAGTGTTCTCATTCCAAATATTGCTGAGTCCTAAAGACTTACATCTAAGATGTATACAGTGATTGCCTTCAAATCTGACCAGATTCCCTTAGACTCAAACGAAGAGTGTCAGTGTTTTGTTACTTTCAAAGTATTTAGGCAACTTAACATATATTTTTAAAAGTTCAATATAGCTAGTTGTGAGGCTTACTGGTAGAACACGTGCTTACCATGTGTGCAAGGCTTGGGCTCAACCCCCAGCACACAAAGTCTAATGGTACAAAAAGGATTATAATGAAAAATGGTCTCAATTTACCCTTCTCTAGTTCCAGCTCTACTCCCTAGAGACAACTACTTGCCATTTTTTTTAGCAGTTCCTTAATTGGTTAAGCTTAGACATTATTGACTTCTATTGTGTTGTATAAAGACTTAGAAAGCTTTAAAAGCTTCCCACTTTATGTAAACTTGTTCAACCACTCTAGAAGCAGTATGGAGAGTCCTCAGAAACCTAAACACAGAACTACTGTGATCCAAAAGACTACAAACTAGGATACAGTAAAGACACTTGCACAACTATGTTTTTGCAGCACTATTCACTATAGCCAAAGTATGGAATCAGCTCAAATGCTCCACAATGGATAAATGGATCAAGAAAATGTGGTATGTATTATGTATGTATGTATGTATGTTTGTATGTATATATAATGGAATTGTACTCATCCATTAGATTTGTATCATTTCCATCATTTGCAAAGAAACAGAAGGACTTGGGGAAAAAATCATGTTATGTGAAGTAAAGCACAGAGAGACAAAGGATGTTTTTCTCATAAGTGGAATCTAGAATTAATTTATAAATATATAAGCAAACATTTTGGGGAGGTATTCAACAGTACATAAATATATTAACCAGCGCTGGGAAGGTGGCTCAGTGGTAGAGTGCTTGCCTTGCATGCATGAGGCCCTGGGTTCGATTCCTCAGCATCACATAAGCAGAAGAAAAAGCCGGAAGTGGCACTGTGGCTCAAGTGGTAGAGTGCTAGCCTTGAGCTGAAGGGCTGAGGGACAGCGCCCAGGCCCAGAGTTCAGGCCCCACAACTGGACCAAAAAAAAAAAAAATATATATATATATATATATATATATATATATATATATATATATATTACCCAAAATATGGTAGATTCAGGGAGGAACTCAGTGTAGTTCCTTAGAAAGACTAACTCATAGTCCAACAAAACAAACACTAGAAAAATGGATATGAAAAAGTGAGGGATGAGGATCAAGGGTAAACAAATGAAGAGAAGATGAGGGAGAATGTAGTCATAATATATTCAATGTATATTCTATGAAAGTAAGAAAATTGAGGGAAGGAGTGAGCGGGGTTGAGAAGGACAGGAGAGAATGTTCAAAGGGGTGACACTGATCAAGATGCACTGTATTCATAAACTGTTTTGTTGCATGGTAACTCCTTCATACAACTACTTAAAGATAATAAAAATGAATTTATCAACCAGTAAAAAATAAAAGTTTCCTCCTTTTACACTCCTTATCTTAAATAGTTGTATTACAATTCTTTATTAGCTATTAGTTACATTATTATGATTATGTAAGTGCTGCTTATTTTGGTGGTTAATTGGAGATAAGAATATCATAAACTTTCCTTCTCAAGCTGGCTTTGAACTTTGATTCTCAGATCTCAGCCTCCTGAGTAGCTAAGATTACAGGTATGAGCCACCGGCACCCAGCTAATTCCATTCTTGTAGACTTGAAAATTTCTTAAACTTTTTGGGGCTGTTTGTTTCATTTTGTCTGCTGATACTAGGACCTAAACTCAGGGGTTTGAACTTGTTAGGCTTCTTTGCTCAGCTTGCTTGCTCAGTTGGTGTTCTACCATTTGGCCATGTCCCTTCTCACTTTCTGTGTCCTCTGCTTGTATAGCCCCTGTCATTCTTCAGTCCTACAATTGTGGGTGTATCTCTCCTGCTAGATTGTTAGCCCCTCTACAGGCAGGGACAGGAAGGAACTGTTCTTCCTCTCATGGTACCTAGTCTAGAATTCTCACCTTCAGTGGTAATTTGACATCTACCAATCCCGTGTGTGTGTGTGTGTGTGTGTGTGTGTGTGTGTGTGTGTGTGTGTGTGTGTGTCCATCCCTCTGTTGTTCTGCTACCGTGTGTGTGTGTGTGTGTGTGTGTGTGTGTGTGTGTGTGTGTCCATCCCTCTGTTGTTCTGCTACCAAACACCAGAGGACGCTGTTAGCACGTTGACAATTATAAACCTTGGACCTGAAAGGTGAGAATGGTCAATACAAAGCAAACTCCTGTTTTAGTATTGCATAACATTTATTGCTCCTCACGTACTCTAAACATTTGAGTTTATTGATGTGGTATGTTTCTGTTAGATTTAGAGATGAGTATAAAAGGTACTTATGACATTTCTACCACATGTCAGAGCTTCAAACAAGACTGCCCTTACAGTCAACTGCTCCAGGCCCAAAGTGACCCGACTAACCCAGCCACCTTTCTCCCATCCATCAAAAATTGTGAATTTCAGTCTCAAAAAGAATGTGTGATATAGTTCTGTTCCTTTTCTGCACTGCCTTCCTATCATATACACCCATACATGCACACATACAGATACACACAGAGAGATGCACACTCACTGACATCAGGGTCTTTGATACAAAGATTCTAGCCTCTGCAGACAGAACTGATACGGAAAAAAAAACAAACAGTACATCTACTGTTTCTGATCCCAAAGCCAGAGTTTCCAGGAGTGCCAGCTCCTTGTGTGCTCCCAGACTGGCTAGAGGTTAGTCAAGCGTTCCCAGGTG